GCGTGACGGCTGGGTTGTTGTAGTGTCGAATTGCACTTTGATACTATTTTGTAGACGCGATCGCTTCTTTCATTGGCTATAACGAGGCTGCGCACGAGACTGGGTTAAAAAAAAGAAACCAAGCAAATAAAAAAACAAACCCAAAGAAAATCGTCCTACAAAACAGAGTTGGTATACAGCAAAGTTGGTCTCTGGTGTCTTGCTTGGGATAAAAAAAAACAGAACAAAACAAAAAAAAACGAGATATTGCTCTTCTGGTCACTACGGTCTGGATGGGTTGATTCTACACGAACTTACTGGCAAAATAAAGTTTAAATTATTTATATAGAGAGCTTTAAAGAATTGGAAGATAATTTATATATTTTGTGAAATTGTGGCACAGAATAGTTACCCTTATATGTCAATTTAACCTCTTACCTACGCTCGCAGTCTTCTAAAGTCCTTAATTATTTGTCTTCCTTATCGTGAGGGGGGTATTTGGCTGCTTTGTTTACCCTAGGATCAGCGCCAGGTTTTAATTATTACCTTTATTTACTGTCGTGGTAACTCTACGTGGAAATTTTGGATGACTTTCTGCCACCGGAGCGAACTATGGTTACGTTACGTAAGAGGCGTCACAACTATATTCTTCCGCCTGTCAGAACTGAGCGTTTCAAGAGAACTTTTGTAAATAGATGTTTGTTCTCTAGTTAGTTAGTTAGTTAGTTACGTAGTTAGTTAATTAGTTATCTGTACGACTAAATTCATATCATTGTAACTAAACACGTGTGTTGTTTCGAGTGTTTAATAAAGACCTTTATTATTATTATTATTATTATTATTATTATTATCATTATTATTATTGTTATTATTAAATTACAGCTCCTTGCAGTTAATTTCCATTGCGTAAAGGATACGTATGTTCGTAAGAGTCGAGCTCGAAGCTTACCTCCTATTCTTAGCAATACTTCGTGTATTGTTAAGTAGAATTAACCAGACAAGCGTGGAGCGCGGCGAAGCCTAGAGCTGCTAGAGTTTATTGTCTGTAGTTCTCCCATCCCTATTAGCCGAGGGGCTCTTCAGAGATGGGGAAGAAGGAATTGTAAAGAAAGTTAATTTCCCTCTCTCCTCATTACCCCCTCGCCGCGATTTCTTACTTACTATTTATACCTGGTTTTTTGAAAACCGGGCTACTTAAAATGTCAGTCTCCCGCACTGATTGGTAATTTAATGGCCCTTGTTACTTGAAAAGAAAATCTCACCTCAAAAAGAAATTATTGAATACATGAGCTTCCATTTGATAGATTCGTCTGTCTTGAAGGTAACAAAAGTGAAGTTTTCCTCATTAATCTGGAAAATAAGGCATTTTAAGAGGCAATGTTTAGTGTCTGTGTCACCGATTGCAAAGCCATTTCCCCAGTTCACCCCATTTTTCATTGAAGCTGGTCTCCCAAAAACAATCTAAGCCAACACTGCTCAACAAAACCAAGTCCTACAACCACCAGTTCCACTGCTTACTGACTAGGAACATTATCAACAGAGTGGGTCATTGCTTGCATGCAAACAGTACAAACAAACTGCATAAGAGTGCAAAAACACAACAACCCCACCTCCCTGAAATTTAACCAGGCTACCCCAAATGCAAACCAGATGATAGCCCTGTGTCTGTGCAATAACATGACAACCAGCCAGACACAACTCCCCCCCCCC